GGCCTCCCACACCTTCACCCTTGACTCGGGGGCTTCTCGCTCCTTCTTTCGAGACCGCACCACACTCACGCCGCTTGGCCGGCCAGTTGCAGTCTCTCTGGCAGACCCCTCTGGGGGTCCTGTCCTTGCTCACTTCTCCACTGTCCTCCCGTGTCCGGCGGCCCCCTCTGGCACCCTGTCTGGTCTTTACCTCCCCTCGTTCTCTACGAACTTGGTGAGTGGTGCTGACCTACAGGATGCGGGGGTTCACCAGTTCACTCCTGCGAGTCAGCGGGTGACCCACTGCACGGACGCTCGGACAGGCCGACACCTGGCCACGTTTACACGTCGGCCGGGGTCGAGCCTGTACACACTGACCACTGCGTCTCCTCCAGTCACTGCGTCTGGTCAGGTAGCTGCGTCGGGACAGGTGTTTGCTGCAGCGTCCAGGTCTGGTCCTGAGTCTGCCCCCTGTTCGTGTCGCCTCCTGTCGCACGAGACTCTCCTCTGGCACCACCGCCTTGGTCACCCCTCCCTGCTTCGTCTCCGAGGCATGGCCTCCCGTGTCCTTGTCTCTGGTCTTCCCCGGTCCCTCCCTCCCCTTCCTCCGGGGCCCGGCCCTACCTGCGTCCCTTGTGTCGAGGGGCGGCAGCGGGCTGCCCCTCACTCCTCCCAGTTTCCTCAGACTGAGGCCCCGCTGCAGACGCTTCACATGGACGTGTGGGGCCCGGCCCGCGTCCGTGGACAGGGTCACGAGCGCTACTTCCTGCTGGTGGTTGACGACTACTCGCGTTACACCAAGGTCTTCCCCTTGCGCAGCAAGGGTGATGTCACTGAGGTGTTGATCAACTGGATCCGCGCAGCTCGTCTCCAGCTCAGGCAGAGCTTCGGCTCGGACTTTCCTGTTCTGCGTCTGCACTCTGACAGAGGTGGAGAGTTCTCCTCTGGCCTTCTGCGAGCCTACTGTCGTGCACGAGGCATCCGCCAGACATTTACGCTCCCGGACTCTCCACAGCAAAATGGGATTGCTGAGCGCCGCATTGGCATGGTCATGGACGTCGCCCATACGTCCATGATGCATGCGGCTGCCCCCCATTTTCTGTGGCCGTTTGCGGTTCGGTACGCGGCGCATCAGATCAACCTTCACCCCAGGGTCTCCATGCCGGAGACCTCCCCAGCTTTGCTGTGGACGGGGAAGGTTGGCGATGCGTCTGCGTTCCGTGTCTGAGGATCTCGGGCGTTTGTCCGCGACTTGTCTGCGGACAAGCTGTCCCCTCGTGCTGCTCCTTGCGTCTTCCTTGGCTTCCCCCCTGACGCGCCAGGGTGGCAGTTCTACCACCCCACCTCTCGCCGTGTTCTGTCCTCCCAGGACGTCACGTTTGACGAGTCGGTCCCCTACTACCGCCTCTTCCCCTACCGCACTCCGTCCCTCCCCCCGCCACCGCTCTTCCTTGTGCCAGGTCCCCCCCCGGTAGACCCCCTCCCCCCTCAGGGTCCTGCCCCTTCAGGTGTGTCCCAGGTAGACGCAGTCGAGCCTGTCGAGGTTACTGGTGACTCTGGTGCTGCTGAGGGTGCTGAGCCTGGGGGTGCTGACTCTGGGGGTGCTGAGCGTGTGGGTGCTACGCCTGGGGGTGCTGAGCCTGAGGGTGCTACTACTGGGGGTGCTGAGCCTGGGGGTGCTGAGCCTGGGGGTGCTGAGCCTGGGGGTGCTACGCCTGGGGGTGCTGAGCCTGGGGGTGCTACGCCTGGAGGTGCTGAGCCTGGGGGTGCGGAGCCTGAGGGAGCTGGGCCTGCTCGTATGCCGTCTGGCGGTGCTGAGCCTGGAGGTTCTCCGAGTGCTTCGTCTCGGCGGGAGCCACTCTCTCCACAGGAGCTGCGAGAGTGGTTTGCCCGACGCTGGAGGCGTGCTGCTGGAGCTGGAGGTTCTTCGACTGCTGCGGGTGCTGGTGCCGCGGGTCCCGGAGGTGCTCGTACTGGGAGTACTGGAGCTGCTGGGCCTGCGGGTACGCCTGGAGCTGCAGCTGCTGAGGGTGTTGGCGCTGAGGCTACTGCTGTCGGTCCTGGAGGCGGTCCTGCTGGGGGTGCTCCTGGTGCTGCTGGAGGTACTGGAGCTGGAGGTGCTGCTGGCGCTGGTGCTGCCGCTGGGGGTACTGGTGCTGTCCCTGCTGTGTCTGGAGTCGCCGCGCGGCCTCGGCCGTACTTCGTTCCGCTCCTTCAGCAGGTTCTTGGTCTCCCGCCTTCTACTGGTCCTCCTCCTCCCTTAGAGTGTCCACAGCCTGTCCCGTCCCAGTTACAGTTACAGCCGGCCTTCACACTGCCCGCTCCTTCTCCCTACACTGGTCCTACTGGAGGTCTGGCTGAGCGTCGTGAGCCTGCGTCTCGCCCTGCGTCGCCTGTCCGTCTTGCTCGCACTAGTGGCCGTGGTTCGCGTCAGCGTCCTCCTCCTGTCCCTGGCACGCACCGGATGTCTCTGCGTCCGTCCACTGCTCCTCTGCGTGCCCCTTTGCCTTCTCCTCCTGAGTCCTCTCTTCCTGCTCTTCCCGACCCGGAGTCGGACTCTCTTCGTGCTGCCAGTCCTACTGTCACGCGTCTCCTTGCTACTGTCGTCACTGACCCTTCCTTTGAGTCCACTGCTGCGTCTGCCCTAGTTGCTGAGCTCGTCGACTTTGCTGCTCACTGTCGTCTAGACTACGCTGCTAGTCTTGTCGTTGCGTCTGAGTCTGTCTGTCCTCCGTCCATCGGGGGTGAGTGTGCCCTTGGCACGGACGTCCTTGAGGACAGGCAGGAGGAGTTCCAGTGTTTGGCTGCTGCTTCACCTCATCTCGTGTCCGTACTGCTTACCCCTGAGGGAGACCCGGATGCACTTGACATCCCGACTCCGCGCTCTTACGCGGAGGCGATAGAGGGTCCCTACTCCTCTCAGTGGCAGGCAGCTATGGACACAGAGATGGCTTCCTGGAAGTCCACAGGCACCTACGTTGACGAGGTTCCCCCGCCTGGGGCGAACATCGTCAGTGGCATGTGGATTTTCAGGGTGAAGCGACCGCCGGGTTCTCCGCCTGTCTTCAAGGCACGTTACGTGGCTCGTGGCTTCAGTCAGCGGCAGGGAGTTGACTACTTTCAGACCTTCTCTCCCACCCCGAAGATGACCACTCTTCGGGTACTGCTGCACATAGCTGCTCACCGCGACTACGAGCTGCACTCTCTTGACTTCAGCACTGCTTTCTTGCAGGGCAGCCTGCACGAGGAGATCTGGCTGCGTCGCCCACCTGGCTTCACTGGGTCTTTTCCTCCTGGCACCCAGTGGAGCCTCCGGCGGCCAGTCTACGGTCTCCGCCAGGCACCGCGTGAGTGGCACGACACACTGAGAACTACACTTGCGGCTCTTGGGTTTGCTCCCTCTACTGCCGACCCGTCGCTGTTTCTGCGCACCGACACTTCTTTGCCGCCGTTCTACATCCTCGTGTACGTCGACGACTTGGTCTTTGCCACAGCTCACACTACTGGACTCGCCCACGTGAAGTCCGAGCTGCAGAAGAGACACACGTGCACAGACCTGGGTGAACTGCGCAGCTACCTTGGCTTGCAGATCACCCGGGACAGAGCACGCCGCACCATTACCCTGACTCAGTCACACATGGTGCAGCAGGTCCTTCAGCGCTTCGGCTTCACGTACTCCTCGCCTCAGGCCACTCCTCTGCCTACTCGCCACTCGCTCTCAGCTCTGCCTTCGGATGAGTCCGTAGAGTCGAGTGGCCCGTACCCAGAGCTTGTTGGCTGCCTCATGTACCTGATGACCTGCACACGACCTGACCTCGCATACCCTCTTAGCATTCTCGCACGCTATGTTGCTCCTGGGAGACACAGACCGGAGCACATGGCTGCAGCGAAGAGGGTGTTGCGTTACTTGTGCAGTACGTCGGGCATGGGGCTTGTGCTTGGAGGGCAGAGTCCAGTGGTCCTCACTGGGCACGCAGACGCTTCTTGGGCTGACGACCAGGCTACGCAGCGGTCGTCATAGGGTTACACCTTCAGCCTTGGTTCCGGCTCTGTTTCGTGGCGGGCTACCCGCTCGTCTTCTGTTCTCGGCTCCAGTTGTGAGGCTGAGATCTACGCCGGGGCCATGGCTGCACAGGAGCTTCGCTGGCTCACCTACCTGCTGACTGACCTCGGAGAGCCGCCTCGTTCTCCTCCAGTGCTGTACGTAGACAACAAGGCCATGCTGGCCTTGTGTCGAGAGCAGAGACTGGAGCACAGAACGAAGCACATTGCTCTCCGCTACTTCCTTGCTCGTGAGCTACAGCAGCGTGGTCAGCTGCGGCTTGCGTACGTGGCCTCTCAGGCCAACACTGCTGATATCTTCACCAAGGCACTTGCGCCTTGTGATCATCAGCGCTTCTGTACTCAGCTGGGTCTTGTGCCTACCTTGACTCACTTGCTCACCCCTTGACCTTGTTTGTACTGTTGCATATATATATATACACCTGCTCTTGCTTGTCTAGCCTTATATATATATGTAATCCTGCATGTGAACTGGCCTTGTGGCCTTGAACTTGTGCTCGGAATGTGTGGTGACTTTGTGATCCACCCTGAGCTTGCTTTGCTTTGCTTGACTGGTCTTGTGACCCCTTGTTCTCCCCCACTTTGCCTATGGGGGTGTGTCAGATTTATATGACATAGCTACTGTAGGCTATAGTGGGGTAGCACATATGGGGTACAGTTTTCTAGGGTTTACATTTGTACCCAACTTTCCCTTAGTCATTCATTCTCGTTTCTATTTTCACACTCGGGTCTTGCAATTTCGTTCTGCGCTGTCAGAAAAATTCTCGCCAGCTCTACGACAACCCCAACGAGTTCTTGTACAGTCCATTTTACAACAGTATAGACTCTTTTCTTGTTTCTTGTTCTTGGTTCCTCTCGACAAGCACCTACTCTGCTCTCAGTTCTTTTCCTCCCCACACCAATTTCTTCTCCAACCCAACCCATCCTACCGACTCGCGTCTCCCTACCTACTATCCCTCCTAATACCACGACGTGGCCTCTCCCTCCCACCCAGCCGTCGCCTCTCCCTCCTCCCCGCCGTCGCCTCTCCCTCCTCCCCGCCGTCGCCTCTCCCTCCTCCCCGCCGTCGCCACTCCCTCCCATCCTGCCGCCCCCTCTTCGCCCATCCCGCCGTCGCCTCTCCCTCCTCCCCGCCGTTGCCTCCGGCGAAAGGTGCACAATCACAGGCGCGGGTTGGTGCGCCAGCGTGGGTTGTTCCTTGAGGCACCGTGGTTATCAGGTGCGTTCCCGGTCCTTCATCCACCCTTCCCCCTCTGATTTTTCTCTCTATCTTTTTTTGCTTCTTCGTAAATTTTGTGTGTTGATTGGTCTTTTATTGCATTGCACTTACATTTGAAGAGGGGGAGAGACGGAACGCGAGGGAGAGCGTGTGCACGGGAGCGAACACGCAAGAGAGTGCACGAGAGAGCGCGTGAGGGAGCGCGTGAGGGAGCGCGTGAGAGAACGCGTGAGAGAGCGTGTGAGGGAGCGCGTAAGAGTGCAAGTGAGAGAGCGCGTGAGAGCGCGTGAGAGCGCGTGCGAGCGCGTGAGGGAGCGCGTGAGAGAGCGCGGGAGAGTGCGAAGGAGAGAGCGCGTGAGAGCACGTGAGAGAGCGCGTAAGAGAGCGCGTGAGAGAGCGCGTGAGAGAGCGCGTAAGAGAGCGCGTGAGAGAGTGCGTGAGAGAGCGCGTGAGAGAGCGCGTGAGAGAGCGCGTGAGAGAGCGCGTGTCAGAGCGCGTGAAAGTGCGCGTGAGAGCGCGTGAGAGAGCGCGTGAGTGAGGGCGTGAGTATGCGCGTGAGAGTGCGCGGGAGAGTGCGCGTGAGAGTGCGCGTGAGAGCGCGTGTGCGAGTGAGAGAGCAAGTGAAAGAGTGAGAGAGCGCGTGAGAGTGCGTGTGCGAGAGCAAGTGCAAGAGCGCGTGAGAGAGTGCGTGAAAGAGCGAGTGAGTGTGTGTGAGAGAGAGCGTGAGAGAGTGCGCATGAGAGAGAGCGCGCATGAGAGAGCGAGTGAGAGAGCGAGTGAGAGAGCGCATGAGAGTGCACGTGAGAGAGCGTGTGAAAGTGCGTGTGAGAGAGCGCATGAAAGTGCGCGTTAGAGTGCGCGTGAGAGAGTGTGAGAGTGCATGAGAGAGAGAGAGAGAGCACGCGTGGGAGAGAACGTGAGTGAGCTCGTGAAAGTGGGCGTGAGAGCGCGAGATCGACGCGGGCGGGAGAGTGAGCGTGAGAGTGCGCGTGAGAGCGTGCAAGGAAGTGTGTGAGGGAGCGCGTGAGGGAGCGCATGAGGGAGCGCGTGAGGGGCACGTGAGGTAGCGCGTGAGGGAGCGCATGAGGGAGCGCATGAGAGAGCGAGTGAGGGAGCGCGTGAGAGTGTGTGTGCGAGTGCGTGTGCGAGAGCGCGTGCAAGAGCACGTGAGAGACCGCGTGAAAGAGCGCGTGAAAGAGCACGTGAGTGTGCATGAGAGAGAGCACGTGAGAGTGCACGTGAGAGGTGCGTGATAGTGCTCGTGAGAGAGCGCGTGAGAGAACGAGTGAGAGCGCGCGGTGCGCGTGCGAGAGCGCGTGAGAGAGTGCGTCAAATAGCACGTGAGGGAGCACGTGAGACTGCATGTGAGAGAGCGTGTGAAAGTGCGTGTGAGAGAGCACGTGAAAGTGTGCGTGAGAGAGCGCATGAGAGTGCGCGTGAGCGAGAACGTGAGAGAGCGCGTGACGGTGCGCGTGAGAGAGCGCGTGAGGGTGCGCGTGAGAGAGCACATGAGAGAGCGCGTGAAAGTGCGCGTAAGAGTGCATGTGAGAGTGTGCGAGAGATTGCATCTGAGAGAGCGTGAGAGCGCGTGAGAGTGCGCGCGAGAGAGCGAGAGAGAGCGCGTGGGAGAATGCAGGAGAGAGCGCATGAGAGAGCGTGTGAGAGCGCGTGAGATTGTGCGTGGGAGTGCGTGTGAGAGTCCGCGTGAGAGAGAGAACTTGAGAGAGGGTGTGAATGTGCACGTGAGAGTGTGCGTGAGAGTGCGTGGGAGAGTGCGCGTGAGAGTGCGCGCGAGAGAGCGCGTGAGAGAGCGAGTGGGAGAGCGCGTGAGAGAGCGTGAGGATGAGTGGGTGTGCGTGCAAGGGTGGGAGCAAGAGTGCGTGCGACTGTATGTGATAGGGTGAGTGCGAGAGCAAGTACGAGTGTTAGTGCAAGGGTGCATGCGAGTGTGTTTGCATGTGCGTGTAAGCTTTTGTTTGAGTGTTATTGTGAATGAGTGCGAGGGTTTGTGCAAGAATGAGCGTGTAGATTTGTATGTTTATTTTTGTGAGTGTGTCTAAGAAAGTTGAGAGTATTTGTACGTGTGCGAGTGGGTGAAAGATTGAGTACAAGAGTGAGTGCGAACGTGAGGATGAAGCTGAACGCGAGGGTGGCTGCAAGGTATTGCATTATTCCGGCGTACTATTTGTGGTGCCACGACTGATACCGATTTACTTCAGTGAGTTGTCAAATTTCCATTGCTCGTCTTTGATTGATCTATATGTTTTCTATTGTTCTTATTTCGTTTCTAGTGCATGTGTGAGCTGCATTCTCTGTTTTTGTTTTCTTGTGCAATGCTGTGAGGTGTACTCTGTCAAATTACATTTGTATGTGTGGGCTGTTGGGCTGAAAAAGGCCCTTAGGAACTTTCAGGACTAAGATCGGGTGTTGACGTAGAGATATAATAGCGGAAGCGTCTGATGAAGAGTTGTCGTGAACCACCTTGTACTGGTGTGTGAGAACAAGATAAGTTATTTAATAGCAGAGAAGTACAAGGCTTTTATATGATTACAAAGGAATATGGAAAGTTCTATTTTAACTGTTTTTGCTGTTGCGGTTCGATGCAGTGCCGACTCGGGTAACTGCTCTGTAACGAGTCAGTTATGTGTCCTTGCTGTCGCACTGTACGTTTCGTCAGGTCAAAGGTCGGAGACCTTTGACCTTCGCGCAACCTCCGACGGTTGCCTTGGTTGACTCGAGTGCTTCTTCGCTGTAGTTAGTTCCGTTTTGTGTCGAAGCTTCGATACGACAGAAGCGTTATAAATTACTTGTTTCCAACACTCCCCTTCGCTTCTGGAGGATCGTTGCTGATGACGTGTCCTTGTCCAGTCAGCAGCATGCAGTACTCAAACTTCTGTTTTCCGAGTTTCTTGGTCAAGTAGTCAGCTGCCATCTCGGATGTGGGACAGTAGGATAGTTCGAGTCCTCCCTTTTCGATCTCGTCTTTCACGAAAAAGTACCGAAGGGCGATGTGCTTCGTTCGATTCGCAAACCCGTTTTTGTTCGCTATGCGAATGGCCGATTGGTTATCGCAGAAGAGAGAGAAATTGGGTAACTGGGCCAATTTTGCTTCCTCCAGTAGTTCGCGAAGATATAGCCCTTCCTTGGTTGCTGAGCAGAGTGCGATATATTCTGCTTCTGCTGACGAGAGAGCAATTAGCTCTTGCTTGTTCGACTGCCATGAGATAAGCCCGATAGGTTCGAGTCTGTAGACGTAGCCGGTTCTAGACCGTCTGTTGTCGGAGTCTCCAGCGTGATCGGCGTCGACATAACCGATTAGCTTAGGTGTTGCGGTGCTGGTTTTGTGGTAGGTGAGGCCGATCGTCAGAGTGCTGACGAGATAGTGAAGCGCTCGGTCGAGTTCGAGCATGTGTTCTGCTTCAGGTTTTTTGAGGTAGGTAGCCAGTTGACTAGCTGAGTAGGATGGATCCAGTCGACAGGTGATGGCTGCGAAGAGTAGGCAGCCTAGTTTCCTTTGGTAGTCGCGGACGCCAGCAGGTTTGAGTAGGGCTGAGCCTTTTCGATTTCCGTCGGTGTAGCAGTTGTGAGAATCAACAGGAATGAATGAACTAGGAAAGTGTGTGATACAAACATGAAACCTGTACCCCTTAGTGTCTACCCCACTACAGCCTACATAGGCTAAGGCATATATATCTGACACACCCCCATAGGCAAAGTGGGGGAGAACAAGGGGTCACAAGACCAGTCAAGCAAAGCAAAGCAAGCTCAGGGTGGATCACAACGTCACCACACATTCCGAGCACCGGTTCAAAGGCCACAAGGCCAGTTCACATGCAAGTTCATATATAAAGGTAAACAAGCAAGTGCAGGTATATATAGATCACAGTACAAGGAAAGTCAAGAGGTAAGCAAGTGAGGCCAAGTAGGCACAAGACCTAGCATAGTACAGAAGCGCTGATGATCACAAGGCTGAAGCGCCTTGGTGAAGATATCAGCAGTGTTGGCCTGAGAGGCCACGTAAGCAAGGCGCAGCTGACCACGCTGCTGCAGCTCACGAGCAAGGAAGTAGCGAAGAGCAATGTGCTTCGTTCTGTGCTCCAGTCTGTGCTCCCGACACAAGGCCAGCATGGCCTTGTTGTCTACGTACAGAATTGGAGGAGAACGAGGCGGCTCTCCCAGGTCAGTCAGCAGGTAGGTGAGCCAGCGTAACTCATGTGCAGCCATGGCCCCTGCGTAGATCTCAGCCTCACAGCTGGAGCTGAGAACAGAAGACGAGCGAGTAGACCGCCACGAAACAGAGCCGGAACCAAGGCTGAAGGTGTAACCCTGTGACGACCGCTGCGTAGCCAGGTCGTCAACCCAAGACACGTCTGCGTGACCAGTGAGGACCACTGGACTCCGCCCTCCAAGCACTAGCCCCAAGCCCGAAGTACTGCACAAGTAGCGCAACACCCTCTTCGCTGCAGCCATGTGCTCTGGTCGGTGTCTCCCAGGAGCAACATAGCGTGCCAAGATGCTCAGAGGGTATGCTAGGTCAGGTCGAGTGCAGGTCATCAGGTACATGAGGCAGCCAACAAGCTCTGGGTACGGGCCACTCGGCTCTACGGACTCATCCGAAGGCAGAGCTGAGAGCGAGTGGCGAGTAGACAGAGGAGTGGCCTGAGGCGAGGAGTACGTGAAGTCGAAGCGCTGAAGGACCTGCTGCACCATGTGTGACTGAGTCAGGGTAATGGTGCGCCGTGCTCTGTCCCGGGTGATCTGCAAGCCAAGATAGCTGCGCAGTTCACCCAGGTCTGTGCACGTGTGTCTCTTCTGCAGCTCGGACTTCACGTGGGCGAGTCCAGCAGTGTCAGCTGTAGCAAAGACCAAGTCGTCGACGTAAACGAGGATGTAGAACGGCGGCAGCAAAGTGTCGGTGCGAAGAAACAGCGACGGGTCAGCAGTGGAAGGTGCAAACCCAAGAGCCGCAAGCGTAGTCCTCAGTGTGTCGTGCCACTCACGTGGCGCCTGGCGGAGACCGTAGACTGGCCGCCGGAGGCTCCACTGGGTACCAGGAGGAAACGACCCAGTGAAGCCAGGTGGGCGGCGCAGCCAGATCTCCTCGTGCAGACTGCCCTGTAGGAAAGCAGTGCTGAAGTCAAGGGAGTGAAGCTCGTAGTCACGCTGAGCAGCAACGTGCAGCAGAACCCGAAGAGTGGTCATCTTCGGGGTCGGGGAGAAGGTCTGAAAGTAGTCAACTCCCTGCCGCTGACTGAAGCCTCGAGCCACGTAACGCGCCTTGAAGACAGGCGGAGAACCCGGCGGCCGCTTCACCCCGAAAATCCACATGCCACTGACGATGTTCGCCCCAGGTGGGGGAACCTCGTCGACGTAGGTGCCTGTGGACTTCCAGGAAGCCATCTCTGCATCCATGGCTGCCTGCCACTGAGAGGAGTAAGGACCCTCTATCGCCTCTGCGTAAGAGCGCGGGGTCGGGATGTCTGGTGCATCCGGGTCTCCCTCAGGGGCAAGCAGCGTGGACACGAGATGAGGTAAAGCAGCAGCAAAACACTGGAACTCCTCCTGTCGGTCCTCAAGGACGTCCGTGCTAAGAGCACACTCACCCCCGACGGACGGAGGACAGACAGACGCAGACTCAGCAACAAGACTAGCGGCGTAGTCTAGACGACAGTGAGCAGCGAAGTCGACAAGCTCGGTAACTAAGGCAGACGCAGCAGTGGACTCAAAGGAAGGGTCAGTGACAACAGTGGCTAGGAAACGCGTGACAGTAGGACTGGCAGCACGAAGGGAGTCAGACGCCGGGTCAGCAAGAGCAGGAAGAGAGGACGCTGGAGGAGACGGCAAAGGGACACGCTGTGGCGCAGTGGAAGGACGCAGTGCCATCTGATGCGTGCCCGGGACTGCAGGAGGACGCGGACGTGGAACACGATGACTAGTGCGAGCAGTGCGAACAGGCGATGCAGGACACGACTCAGGGTCACGACGCTCAGCAAGACCTCCAGTAGGACCAGCGTAGGGAGAAGGAGCAGGCAGAGGGGAGACCAGCTGTAACTGTGACTTGGACTGGACAGGCGGAGGACACTCTAAGGAAGGAGCAGGACGAGAAGAAGGCGGAAGACCAAGAATCTGCTCAAGGAGCGGAACGAAGTACGGCCGCGGCCGCGCAGCACCTCCAGAACCAGCAGGGACAACACCAGTACCCCAGCGTCAGCTCCAACTCCAGCAGCACCACCAGCTCCAGTACCTCCAGCAGCTCCAGCTCCAGCAGGACCACCGGCAGACACAGCCGCTCCGGCTCCAGTACCTCCAGCAGCACTCACTCCAGCAGCACCACCAGCTCCAGCTCCACCAGTAGCTCTAGCACCAGGAGCACCACCAGGCCCAGCAGCTCCAGTACCTCCAGTACGAGCACCTCCGGGACCCGTGGCTCCAGCACCCCCAGCAGAAGCAGAACCTCCAGCACCGGCTCCAGCAGCACCTCCAGCTCCATTACCTCCAGCAGCAGCAGAACCTCCAGCACCGGCAGCACCTCCAGCTCCAGCAG